GTTGTGGTCACATGATACAATGGAAAAGGCTGAAAATATTAAGTTTGTATTAGCTTTAATAGTATATAAAGATATATCTATCAGCTACTATGTTACATAAGTATTGTACAGTCAAATCTTTTTAAAAGATAGCTTGCCAGTCAAGGTAACATACGCCCACTGGCAGCTGTCAGAAATAAGAACAGTCTTTAGTGACATGAGTACGAATTTCCTTATTTTAAAGATCTTTCATTATACATTAAACCCAAAAGTCCTTCATCGAAAAACCATTTAATTCAAATGTCACTAAATTCTCAACAATATAAATTATCACTTCATATTTCTTTAATAAAGATGAAATCTATTGCGTTCACTAAAAAATTTCACATGTTCATACTATGTCAGGGGCAATAACTAAAAAAAAATATGAGAAATATAGTCAAAATTTGGCCATGTTTTTACTAAGTCAGGGACAATAATTCAAAACTGTTTGTCAGGAAAATCATTTTATTCAAACTTGACAAAGATCTTATGAATATAAATCATCACACCAAATTTAATTAAAACTATAGTCAATATTGCACTCACAAACAAATTTGGACATGTTTTTCCTCAGTCAAGAACAATAATTAAAAACCGTTCATCGAAAAATTGTCAATTTCAAACTTGAGCAAGATCTCATGAAAATAAATCATCACACCAAGTTTCATTAAAATCAGATAAAAACTGTACTCTCTATTGTGTTTACAAGAAATGTTGAAGGACGGACTGACCAATGGACAGGGGCAATGACTCTTTTACCTTATAATCTGGAAGTTGGGTAATGCCAGGCCAAGTCTCTTCAGTAGGTGTACCCAATAATCTGACAACAGGTCAAGGACTTTAATTAACACTCTTAGATTAAAATAATCTAAATATAATATAATTAAACATATTGCTATCTCTTGCCCATACATACATGTATTTGGTTTGTGAAAGCAATGGAGGCTACAATCAGATTTTTAGCAATGGTTTTCTGTAGGATTATATCCACATGATCATGGAAAGTTGGAATTTGGGCATGATGGACTCAGATTGACTGAATTAAAGTCCTTGATAAGTTTTAACTTTTCACTTTTGGGAATGCTCATCCTACAAGAGTAACCTACCTGATGACACCCATGAACTGTTAACTCAGCAAAAATGTTAATTTTCATTTGGCAACTTATTTAAGAAAGCAGCAGCCCTTCAGAGAGTCCACAATGCAATCTACATTAATCTTAGTTGTTCTAAATTCTAACCAAAAAGGATACTTGAAGATTCTTTTCAACTGGTCATCCACATCATTACCAGGAAACAATGGTCGTCCGGCATTAGCCAGTTCAGCAAATATACACCCTGCAGACCACATGTCTATACATGTTGAATACATCTTTGCCCCAAATAAAACATCTGGGGGTCGATACCACAGTGTCACTACCTATAGAAAAAAATATTAGTCTTTTAACACCAACAAGTGTGCAATGGGGGAAATTTTACACGGCCTGCACATAACACATCTGGAAAACAAACTATTAAATTTCAATTCATAAATAGGGGGGGCTACTCAGCCTGATTGAAATGGAGTTTTACTTCCAAAATACCTGTGTAATGTTGAGGGAAAGACATAAACAACATAAACAGTTGAAGATCTTTAAGTGCACAACCTGTAACACACTCTTTATCCAAAAAAACTGTATGCTATTTTCATGTCAACCCCTCTGACCTGCATCAATAGCAGGGTGAAACGTCATTGAAATTAGACAAGAATTCGGCCTATGCCAAAGTCCTAGAACTACAGTAAGCATCTAGCTCATTGAGCCACGATAACTTACCTCTGAAGAATAAAATCTTACAGGAATACCAAATGCTCTGGCTAAACCAAAATCAGCCAATTTCAACTCTCCATTCTAGAAGATAAAAGAATAGATAATCAGCAAAATACTCACACATATTTTTAGAAAAAACAACTATTCAATAAGGGTTACATGATTAAAAATTGCTTTTTATGAACGAAAATATATCTCTAAGCAATGCAGCACCTCTTAATTTAAATTTGAAATTTAGTACTCCAACAATTCAAACAAAGTGTACTTGTAACCAATAATCTAATAATTGCCCAGAAGAGCTTTCCTCATTGTGAGCAAATTTGATGCATTTTAAATCTGAAAAGTCATACAGATAGTCTATATTGAGCTATGTCGCAAAAATGTTTTGAGCACTTTAAGGGATTTATTTCACTCTACAGGTTGAGCAGGACCAAACAGTGTGGAGAAGAGCGCTTAGTAACGGCATTATTGTCTAGCAGGTTTTCAATTCACTGAAGCTCATCTGTTTAAATCGCAGGTGGAGCAGAACAGAGCAACACTTCTGATGTATTTCTTTCCGCTGGAATGTACACTCATAATTCTCCACAGTTAATGATTGATTTCAGGTTACTCTGCTCTGATTATATGTGATGGCCTGACCAGGCAGGGGGAGGGGGAAGGAGAGGGAGCGTCTAATGCAATTTGCAGAAACAAGACTAACCTTATTTATAAGTAAGTTTTGTGGTTTTAAATCTCGATGTAACACATTATGACTGTGACAGAATGCTAACCCTCTTAACAGCTGGTACATAAAGGACTAGATAAACAGATAAAAAAATAATTCATGTAAATTCAGGTCTATAGCTTCACAAGTATTCACAATTGGGCAAATTTCTTAATAAAGTATTAAAATAAAGTAATTGAGCCAATTATTGTTTTGTCACAAAACCTTTACCAAGATATCCAGGGCCTCAATCAGATACTCAAACTATTTGACCTAAACACAACCATAAACAAAAATGCTATCTATACTGAAGGTAAAATATACATAACTTCTGAAAATACTGATAAACACTGACACTGGAAATTGTAAGACCTTTTTAGTGTAAAATCTGTCCATCATACATGCAAATATACAATACATGTTCTGTGGTCAATAAATTCATTCTAAGGCTACTGCTACTTTTTCTTTTCTTTTTAGTTTTTTTTACATTGACTTTCTCTGATGTCTTTACTTACATATAAGCACTTGAAATATATACAGTACATATATCTGATACATCCACATTGATGTTTATTTTACCTTTCAGTATATATGCACATATTACACAATATTCCTGAGGAATTTTATATTTGAGCATTTTGGTTACCTTGACAGCATCTGGGTCTATCTCACCATTACAACTATCAAAATACTTCTTTAAATCCTGATCACAATATTCAAACACAAGGGTCAGTTTCTTTTCACTATGTAGCACATCATGTAATCTAAAAATAAAGTTGTCTAGAATTACATGGTAAAAGAAAATATTTCAGCTACTTTATTACAGAGAATAAAATTTGTCATTCAGTTTGAGATTTGTGATGCTGTTCAGTTGTCTGAAGATCACACAATGTTAAACTCTGATTAACAACATGTTTCAGGTACAATTGATGTATTGAGCACTAATTTGACTATAATTTAATTGCATACAGACCAGAAGTTGTTTGTTTATTGTGTAATGATGGAAAAAATGCTTGACTAAGAGAAATTTAGCAGCAGGAGACATCTGCCAAAATATTGTGACAAGGGTAAGATTCCAAACTGAATTGAAACCCTTTGTAGCGAACCTTTGCATTGACTAGCTAATAAACACAATTCAGAATGTGTGTCACATATCTCAAAACACTCAGCCTGGGATTGTAGTTAACATAAAATAAACAGCACCATACCTGACAATATTTGTGTGTTTTAATTCTTTTAATAAACAAATTTCTCTTAAAGCTGAACTAGGAACACCCTTCAATATGTCAGAAAAAAACATAGCATAAATATATCTCTAGCCTTTGACTCATGTGATACCCACTGACCAAAATATAATTGTTGCTCTATCAGCCAAAATACCAAGAAATATGGAACGCTATAGCAACCAAGAGATTTCACATAACATTAAAAGGACAATTTTGCCATCCATTTGACCAGGCAAACCTAGTTTTTTTTTAGACTTTGCCATATATAGAAAAAACATCCATAGAAACAGAAACTTGAAAATGGTGTATCTGTTCCTTTAACATCATACACTTTAATGTTGGAGGCCGACAAGCATATTTCATCGCATTTAAAATCGCTACAAAAAATTCTGTTGAATGCCCGCTCATGTCAATGATGATTTTTCATGCCCATACCAATAGCCTGCATCAAATATGTTCTATATTTAGGGCCAATATTTTAATGATTTATGACTCCGGCATATTTTGTCATGTGACCTTCAGAATGGCTGCCTCTGCCATTGAGAACCAAGGGAGTAATTAATAGCCAAATAGCGTAAAAAATTTGTAATTCAAATTGCGAGGTTGCTTGCACGATGTAATAATCAATAGCCTTGTGTGTGTTCAAATTTTCACAATAACCTGTCTACATAAAGAAGCTAGTCAAATAGGCCAGTTTGTTAATCATGTGACATCATGAATATTAATTACCTCAGTCCCATATACTAAATTCACATATCAACCCAATAAAACACGATGGAAATATTTAAGTAACAATTTTGAAAGTGTTGGTTTGATCAATCAATATAGACAAATACTGGTACTTATTGTAGGAAGAGTTTTTCTTCTCAAAATCAGGTCTGTTTAAATAATGCAACTTTATTACCTCATCATCATCATCAAGTCGAACTCTTTTTAAAGCAACAATTTCATGTGTGTCTCGATTCTTCGCTTTAAATACTGTCCCATATGTTCCTGGAATTCAATGAAAAAAATCACCCTGAAAATTTAATATATTGTTGAGAAAAGCTTTTTGCGCAAGCAAAAAATGTTGTCACCCTTCACATATCTTTTGTTTTGTAGGAAAGAACTGTTCCAAACTGTCACAAAGACTCCAAAGGCAGCTGAACTCTTTTCAATAAAATACAAGCTATGGCCATCTCTTCCTTACCCTAAACAATTCACTAAAAAATTCACTTAATAGCATTCTTGGCCCCATCTGACTCACTCAACTAGAGGAAACTTTTTATAGTTACTGTAACAATGATCACTAGTAAGTAAATATTGTCAGCAATCTGTATTGTACACACAGTCTGTAGCGGGAATCTCCCAATTTTATATAGCTTCAAAAGTTGTTTTCAAACCAAAATATCTGAGCTGACATGACCTGGTAAATCATTCATCAATGGTTTTAGTATTTGCCACTGGTTTTACATTATGAAAGAAAACCCAATATCATTTCGACGTTTCTTTAAAGAGATACTACTTCTTCATATGCACATAACATTTAAAGTCTCAAACTTGACCAATTAATAATTGAACTTACCTTGTGTCATAACTATAAAACAGAATCAATTAACCAACATTAATTGCTCTAAGCATTTTTCAACAATTTCTTAGATACGTATAATTACCTAGTTTTATGGATTCATCAGATTATAGAGAGATTCTGTTGTATAGCACAGGGTAGGTTCGAAGTTGATTTAAAAATAAAGTTTTTTTTTTTTTTTTTTAAAACGAAACTGATCTTGCATCTGCCTTTCAAAACTATATGGACAGCCAAAAGTTCACAGAGCACATAGTACTAACAAAATGAAGGTTAGAATAATGCCCAACACTAATTTACAGTATTTTCAACGAATGAAGTCACGTGATCCGTGTCAGCAGAAAATATCTCTGGAACACAAAGTGGACCATATTCTTATGTTGTTTCAGTGACTTTTAGCAATAAATCACGCTACGTATCTTATTTTGTTAGTCACTATTTTTGTTTAAAATAGTGGTTCTTTGAAGGAATTGTCACTAGTTATAATGAATTGATATTAAAGATAAATACTAAGAGAAGTTAATTATACCACCCGGTATAGATACAACGTGTTTTTCTAAACTTATTTATAGATCAAACATTGTACACGAAAATAGGTGACGCATTCTGCCGCCGTTGCCGAGTTGGTTTCTCATGAAATATGGGCCAAAGTGAAGGATTCATAAAGAAAATCGAAATAAACCAATTTTAATTACTTTGTAGAATATCTGGGGAAACATCTAAGACATAAAAAAATTTTTTCGTTTTTTTAACTTTGACGAAATTCGGTGTTGAATCCTTATATCCACGAAAATTGGTTACACCATTGTATATTAGGGTATAGGTTAAATCACTTTATATAATGAAGTTTTAAATTGACCCCCAAAAATGTTTTAATATTGTTAGAAAAAACACATCTTTGGAGACTTAAACAGACTCTACTCCTACAACTGTTAAAATATCCAGAGGCTGGAAGAGGGGCAGATATTTTGGACTAAGGAAGGAAGGTCCAGGAGGAAAGCTGATTGAAAAGAATGAACTGTGTCTGTGTCTTATGAATTAACAAAGTTATCATTAATAGACAAAATCTAAAATCTTTAATAAAGCTATAATCACCTTCTCCAATTTTTTCTAATTTTTCATAAGCTTGCATCCTAGACTAGATAATGTTTTTATTATTTCCCTACTTTTGTTATTGTTTATCATTTACAGTAAAAGGGACACAACTCTTATGTCTTAACCGTACATATTTCAGTAAAATATAAAACGAAATATATCATTAAGTGCAAAAATTCGTCAAATTCTCGGTTTGAAGTTTTAGTTTTTCAAAATAAAGTAAATTATTCAAAGCAAAAGAATAATTTTAAACTATCAACACTATTTTGAAATATTATTGACTTATTCTAAAATTTTAAGGAAGACTCCAAATCTCGCGTGATTAACGTTTAATGGCGGCGTCCTGAGAATTTTATTCTTGTGATTGTGAAGTATTCAGAAAATATTTTTTTTGTTTAATACAATGCAGCAACCACCTCCTCAAAGATATCCCCAGGGACCGCCTCAGATGCGTCCCCCATTTTCTCAACCAAATTTTGCACCAGTAAGTTAACGTATTTGACATTTGTTGAATTATAGATTTTAAAACAAAGAAAAGTTGTGTCACTGACACTGTCGTCAGACTTCAGTCTCAGAGTAGGCTGTGGATATTCGTCACCGGGGTGGCGAATAGTCCACGTCCATTCATTTGACTATTCGCCATCCGGGTGGCAGAAAAAATCTCTAAAAATTCATGAAATGTCAGCCTTATTGATATAATTGTTTCTTTCAGTGACATATTAGTCGACTCTGAGTAATTTGTAATGGATTTTGTCTGGTTCAGACAAGACCGTGTTAATATAAATTTAATTTCTTGCAATGAAACCAAAATTCCGCCATTTTGTTTACACCAAATTAGCATACATCCCAAATGGTCCTGTTAGTGTTGCTATGAAATTTAGCATCATATGTATATATAAGAAATCCGTAGAAAAAAAATGAAAATAAAATAAAGTTTTACGTCCCATTTCTGCACCTGTATGGGCTACTGAGGATGGGCAAACGCCATACAGTGTGCAACGAGGGAAATTTTGTCAGGACAGCGACATTAGCCTACTCTTATTTTCGATTTCCAACTGTCGGGGGATCTTTACGTAAATAAAAAAAAGACAAAGCAGGCGCGTGTCCAAATTGTGTCACATTTATCCTAGATGTATTTTCCAAGTAAGCTCCTCCGATCCCAAACATCGACAAGGGGAAATCGAGTTGAAAAATCCAAAGAATATCAATCCGTGGTTGGAGCCATCGCGAATGTGTAAGTAATGTATGTGGGTGGTAAATACATTGCATTGGGGTGGGTGGAAATATGTATTTGAACTAATAAGGTTTGAGGTATAATAAGGCATACGATAATCCACAATACTGACGAGTGGTAAGTAATGTGTACGGGTGGTAATAAGGCGTACGATAATACACAATACTGACGGGTGGTAAGTACTGTGTACGGGTGGTAATAAGGCGTACGATAATAAACCATACTGATGGGTGGTAAGTAATGTGTAAGGGTGGTAATAAGGCGTACGATAATACACAATACTGACGGGTGGTAAGTAACGTATACCGGTGGTAATAAGGCGTACGGCAATACACAATACTAACAGGTGGTAAGTAATGTGTAAGGGTGGTAAACAAGAATGGGGGATGGTAAACAAGAGCTGAAGGAAGTAAGTTCTTGTTAACCACCAACAATTCCTGTTTACCACCCCCAGCTCTTGTTTACCATCCAAAATACTTGTTTACCACCCACAATACATGTTAACCACCCACAGTTCTTGTTAACCACTCACAGTTCTTGTTCATGTTAACCACCCACAATTCTTATTTACCACCCTAAACTTTTGTCCACCATAAGCTCTTGTTCAACGTCCTAGTTGTTGTTCACTACCCTCGGTTCTTGTTTAACATACCCAGCTCCTGTTCACCACCCTGAGTTCTTGGTTACCACCCTCAGCTCTTGTTCACCACCCTACCTGTTGTTCACCGCCATCATTTCTTGTATACCACCTTTAGTTCGTATTTACCACCCCAACTGTTTGTTACCACCCTAGTTGTTTTTCATTAACCTAGCTATTGTTTACCACCCTCAATACTTGTTTACCACTCTCAGCTCTTGTTTCATTAACCTAGCTGTTGTTTACCACCTCGATACTTGTTTACCACCCTCAATACTTGTTTACCACTCATAATTCTTGTTTACCACACTCAGCTCTTGTTTCATTAACATAGCTGTTGTTCACCACCCCCAGGTCTTGTTTGCCACCCACAATACTTGTGTAACACCCACAATTCTTGTTTGCCACCCTAAGCTCTCGTTCCCCTACTTAGTTGTTGTTCACCATCCCCAGCTCTTGTTTACCTCCCTCAGCTATAATTGTTCACCACCCTGGGTTATTTTTACCACCCTAGCTGTTGTTTACCACCCGTAGGTCTAGTTTAACAGCCACAATTCTTGTTTACCACCCTCAGCTCTTGTTCGCCACCCTTGGTTTTTGTTTACCACCAGCAGGTCTAGTTTGCCACCCTCCGTTCCGGTTTACCACCCACAGATCTTGTTTACCACTTCCAGCCCTTGTTCACCACCCTCAGCTCTTGTTTACCACTCCCAATACTTGTTTACCACTCACAATTCTTGTTTGCCAACCTCAACTTTTGTTAACCACCTTAAGCTCTTCTTCACCAGCCGAAGCTCTTGTTGTTGTTAACTGCTCTCGGATCTTGTTAACCACTCTCGGCTCTTTTTTACCACCCTAGATGTTATTCATTAACCCAGCTCCCGTTTACTACCCAAAAATCTTGTTTACTGCCCTCAGCTCGTTTACCACACTCGGTCTTTCTTTACCACTCGTAGGTCTAGTTTACCACCCTCCGTTCCTGTTCACCACCCGCAGTTCTTGTTTACCACTTTCAGCTCTTGTTCACCACCCTCACATCTTGTTTACCACCCCCAATACTTGTTTACCCCCTGACGATTCTTGTGTACCATCGACAATTCTTGTTAACCACCCTAAAGTCTTTTTACCACCCTCAGCTTTTGCTCCAGCTTTCTTAAACTAATAGGGAATGTCGGGAATTCGCGTTTTTGGGAATCCGATTCTAAAAATCTTCAAAGGGTGGGATCTCCCACATACTATATAAAAAATCCTTAAATCCGCCGGAAAATGTCAAGAAAAAAAGCTTCCGGGCCTCAAAAAAAAAAATGCAGAGCCACGCGAGGTTTGTAGGTGACATAAATATTGAGACTAAATTTCATAGAAGTGATTCAAAAAAGTGGTGGCTAAATTGACTTAACAACGGTTGACTATAAATAGCCATCCAATGGGACAGCGTTTATCAATTACAAGTAGGTGTTATTTTCGTACATTTTCTTGAAAGGAATTGCAAATAAGCGTTTCTAATAAACATAAAAAAACATTATAATGCATGTAACGCTATAGCCTTCACAGCTAATAATGTCAGTCTTCAGAGAAATTAAAGTTTTAAAAAGGGGTGGCAAAAAAAAATGAAGGTGGCGAATAATTGTTTGCCACCCGGGTGGCGAATATTCTCGGCAAACTCAGCATTGCTGTCGTTGCCGAAGAAGGTTAACCATCCAATATTCTCTTCATGGTGGATTTTTATCTGTATCGCTCCATGTGTAATAGGGTGTGTTTCAAAAGCAGTTATACCTATTCCTGATTTTTTTCATGCCTACATTTTACATGATTTTGGTTGTTTAATACAGTGGTGTAACCTATTTTCGTGCATAAGGATTCAACACCGAATTTCGTCAAAATTAAAAAAACAAAGAAAATTTTTTTATGTCTTAGATGTTTCCTCAGATATTCTACAAAATAATTAAAATTGGTTTATTTCGATTTTCCTAAATTTTCCTAAATTAAATTACAGGAAAAAAATCTCATGAAACCAACATACAAACAAATTACTTAACGTTTCTGGCACTGTTTTGGTGTCGGATGGAAACGGTTTGAGTTAGGGTTACTAAGAAATTTATCAAAAGATTTTTTTTTTTATAAAGTTCATTTTGTGTTAGATATATCTAAGTTATCTTTATCCAAACATTTTTCTTTGAAAACTCACAATGGAAGTGTAATTTCAGAAATTTGTTTCCAACTGCAATAAGGTTCAGTTCAGTCTCTTGCATTAATACAATTTTAAGGATGTAAATTATTTACCAACTATCAATTTTCAATTTATTTTCAAATTTTATAAACACCCAATCATTCAACAGACAATTTTAAAACCTTGGTGCCTTCTTGAAATAATTTCCATCCGACACTAAAACAATTTCCATCAAACACCAAAACCCACAAGACAAAAACAAATATCAAATTTTTGTCATTTTCAGTAGTTTTGTATTTTGTATGGCATTTAAGACTTTGTTGTACTGTTTAACAATGAAATAAACTTACATAACAGCACTTTTAGGGAAAATAGTAAAAATTGGTATGATGCTAACTAAAAAACACAATATGACAAGTTTCATATGTATAAGAACTTTGATTCCGTGTTTACCAGCAAAATTTAGAGAGAAAATAATCTATCAAATCCATCCGACACCAAAACTTGACTTTTGAAACACCCAATATAATATGTAGCATTAGATAAGAGGGACAAAAGAATTTGACATAGAAGTGAATTGTCTCTTTACTGAGATGAACATATAGAAAAGTTCACTGAATAATTGTGGTCTGTAGAAATTCAAGAAAACCATGGACAAAGCATGAGATTAATCTTTATTTGAAAACACAACTGTTGGGCAGACTCCACACTCACGTCTCTCTCCTGAGAGCTAGGGAATTTCCAAAATACAAATAAGAGCAGTTTTGGTGTGACATGGAAAAAGTGTCTAGTCGATGCTACAATAAACCAAGGCCTGTGCAGACTGTGAAAGATCCGTGGATAGTTGAAAATCTGTAGAGAGTAGGTTATATCTGTTGTCCTTGTAAAATTATCCTCATTGCACTCTGCATGAACTCATTGGTGCAGAAAACTAGGACGCAAAACTCCATTCATTTCATTTTATCAGCCTTTATTTCCAATTATCAAGAAGAGTCTCAATATCCTCTAACCTGTGCAGTAGTTTTACTTTAAACAGTGGAGGTTCAAGGCCAAAAACTACTCTTCCATCAATATCTAGTGTTTCACCTTCTTCAAGATGAAGTTTTACTGATAGACACTTTAATAAGCTTGTTATAAGTAAAAACATAATGTCCACAGCTATTTTTGTTCCTGGACACATTCGAATGCCTTTTCCAAAGGCTATGAATGCAGGAAATTTAACAAATTTCAGCAAGTGTCCATTTTCGTCCAAAAATCTTTCAGGCTTGAACTTGCGTGCTTCTTGCCAATGTTCTTCACTGTTTAAAATCTCCCAAAAACCAATCATGATGCTTGTCCCTGAAATGGTCATATGAGGATTGTCACTAAAATGTTACTTAACCATATGGAATAGCTCAGTCGTCAGCGAGTTTGATTGTTGTCTGCTATGCGATTAGTTGCCGTCGGTTTGAATCTTCCTTAAGGTGAGAAAAATTCTGTGCTTTCGAGAGTCCATTATTAAATAATCATGTCTTATCAAAACCATACCATACAGGCCTAAAAATGATTGTGGCTGCTGGTGTTTAGAGGTTTAAGAAAAATATTTAAAGGGTTATTTTACCTTTTTGAATATTGTAGCCACCTATCTGAGTATCTTCTGCAGCACAATGAGGTATACCCAAGACATTTGGCTGACATATTCTCATCATTTCTTGGATGAAGGCTCCTGAAAAATTATATTTTCAAATTTGTAATGTTCAAAATCTAGATATTTGTTTCTTATTTAAGAATAATATTGTGTGGGTTCCCATGCATGCTCTCCATTAGATCTGATGCTATTCCCAAAATCTGTGGCCAATGTGGGTCCACATGGATGCTGTTTTAGAAGCTCTGATATAATATATTTCAAATACCCAATATTTGGAGGAATGAATGTGGAGTCCCATCGCCACTCCTTGCTTTGATCAACTCTGACATACCTGTGTAATGATATTGAGGTTTTTGTTCTAGTTTTGGTAGCGAGGAGGGGTTGATAGATATAATCTCTTTATAAAGTTTGTCTTGTACATCTGGATATAGTCCTAGATAGAGTAGACTCCACAGATATAGCGTGTACAATGTGTCGCTCCCTGCAAAATATGATTTAGGATGTAAAACTCTGGTTTATTTCAAAACATAGGATGTAAAACTCTGGTTTATTTCAAAACATAGGATGTAAAACTCTGGTTTATTTCAAAACATAAGATGTAAAACTCTGACGTAGGATGTAAAACTCTCCAGGATTTATTTCTAAACATAGGATGTATAACTCTAGTTCATTTCAAAACATAGGATGTAAAACTAAAGAGGGGGCAGTTGTCTCCCTCGTAGCCCCGAAAGTGACTTTTTGAGGCAAAAATCCCATAGAGACTACAGTTTTTATCAGATTTTGAAGAAACTTGGTATGCATGTATTTGAGATCTCAGTCAAGTTCAAAATTGGTAATAAATGCATGAACAGGTGCAGAGTTTTTGCTGTTGTGTATAATGAGACATTGTTCATGCTTGAATTGATGATAATTAGATGAACTGTTTTGCCTTGACTTGAAAATATTTTTAAGATCTATTAAAATAATATTATAAGGCTTATTCCTTATTAAGCTACTACAGACTTTGTTATCATTTCTGACAGTTTGTAGTGGGCATATGTTACCTTGCCTGGCAAGCTATCTTGAAATATAGGATGTAAAACTCTTGTTTGAAATTATGGTGTAGTAAGATATTTTTTACCTGCTAGGAATACTGTCCAAGATGTCATGATGAGATTTTTAATCAGTTTGGGATTTAAGATTTTGTGGTCAGCTATTAAAAGGTGAATCAGATTCTCAAGTTGTGGTCCATTTCCTTCACAAAATTGTAGATTTTCGTAACATTTATTTGTTAATATTTCATCTCGTCTCTGAAAATTATTTCTTGATGTAATTAGAAAATAAGTCATAGTTGACTAAGGTTCATGAGTGTTTCGGATATGGACATTTTTCATCAGGACATCTCGTTTTCAAGCTAACTCATTCAACTGCTACTATAATTGGAATTTTTGATGGAAATACCACAAATGATGGAACACTCGTGTTTCAAAGTTAAATTTTAATGCTTATGAGCATGGAGAACTTGATGAACTGAATGTTCATGCACGTTGATCTATAAACTATATTTACAGGTAGATTAGAAACCAGATTTATCATTCTGAAAAGTGGCAGTCAGCATGATTTAAATTCACTAGGTGACTATACAATAACATCCCCTTTTAAAGGTATTGTAAAGAGGTTTTCTATGTTCATTGGGGACACTTATAGCATCAATTTGCACCATCAAACACTTAGTTATAGTGGAATCGCAGGAACCAAATGTTTGATTGAAAAATGGAATATTGAAACAGAAAACATTAAGATTCAATCTTACCTGAACAGCAGCAAATACAGATCCTGTCCAAGGATTGGGAAACCACCATAAACATTTGAGTAGGTTCAGGGGATGGAATGGACTCAAAGTTTTCATGATTGTTCTATGATCCGTGTAAACCACGTCTACTATAGGGTCATTACTGTCAATTCCATATACCAGTGAAGCACATTGGCTAACCATAAATTTTAACACCATTTCCTTCAGTTCAGCGGGCTCCCCTCTAAAACTCTGGTATCTGGAAAAGAAATTTATAAGGGATCTTTGCATATTATTGAATGTTTTGAATAGAACCTTTGTACAGAAAACACAATTAGTTGATGTGACATCAAACTACCAAGTGTGCTTCAGGGTTGCACATGCTAAAGGTATCTGGACAGTTTGATTTTGAAAGTAGCAGGCTGCATGGTATTGCCTGTCTTCACTAGTTCAAAATGGAAAAATATTGACTGTTTGCTCCCAACATGCTGCTAACCTGATGAAAGTTGATCATAATTTTTAATTTTTTTTCATCAAATAAATGGTTGATATGTAATTAAATTACCTTTTTATTACATTTTGTGCAACTTGCTTGACTTTTATTTCTAAAGATGTTTGTGATAGGTTGTTGATGGCTTTAATGAGCAGCTGTTTTTGTTGTATGAAGGCAGAGTTACACACTGCCGAACCTACGCCCTCCACATCTTTCGTTAGATAATCAAACACATATAAGCATGGACGATCTGACAAAACCTTACTGTAACTTATATCTTTGAACAATTGCATGTCTGTCACATATACTATCCTTTCTGTCAGTCCAATTTTTAGACTCAGTATTTTTCCAAATTTTTCTGAGAACTTTGTGAAGGAATGATGTGGTGTTTTTGGAGATATTTTCTGAAGAGTTCCAATGATGGGAAGTGACCAGGGACCAGGCGGTATTCCTATCCAATGATAATAATACAGGTCTTCTAAAAATGTTTCTATAAATATTGCAATAATGACAGCTAGCACACAATTTATCTGAAAAATTAAATTTTAAAATTGATGAATTAATAAGTGTTGTGTACAAAACATCACATTTTTTCACTTTGCCTTTGTCAACAATTTCTTAGGGCCTGCTTTGACTCAGTGAAGTAAAATTTGCTTGCTTATCTGAAAGTTTGAAAGGCATATATGATGATATCTCTGAAATTCTTAACACAGTTTTCCCTTTTTGTAGACATAAGTCACAGGGGCTGACATGGAATAAGTTTCTTGTCATTCAATTAATGATAACTTAACTGACTGGACAATGGTAGACAGGGCTAGGTTTTTAACGGCAAAGCAGATCGATGTTACAATATCGTCAATAGCAATAAAAAGACATGAAAGAAACAAGGATTTTTTAGAACAAGTTCAGTTTTATGATGATCCTATCTATCAGCTGGTACTTGGCCAAACTTCTTGGCATTGATCTTTTCCTGGATTATTCATACCCAAATATTTACATTTCTATGGCAATCTTCAATGAACCAATTATGCAAACTGGCATTCATTTTTCGATAAACTGTTAACACCAAAAATACACTTTGACGTCATCAGTGCACGTCAACAATGATGCCATCTAAGATTTGTGGCAAATTCACGTAACGGATCATATAAAACAGTAAAAATTGTATTAATAAAAGTATCTGAATATAAATATAAATATTAAATGTTGGTCTCACTAGCATTATTGTTGTGTACATTGATCACTCTATAAACGAACATTGAACGACTTCTTCAGTTATTCAGTTTGTCATGTGATTAATTATGTGTACACACCAATAATGCTAGCGAGAGCAACATTTAATTCTGAATTACAGCTGAATATACTGGAATAATGAGTAAAAACCTATTCAAGTTTACCAGACTTTCACAGGCTGATTAAGATTGGAACCCTTATATACCATTTTGTTTGACATAACCAAGGAAATGATGCTTTAACGGGTAATCATTGCCATATTTCTTAAAGTTTTCTTTTTTATTTACAAGCTTAGTTTTCATCGACACTCATTTCGAACATTTTTATTTTAAAGATTTGAGCTAGTCCTAGGGAAAATATTAGAAGTTTTATGAATAAATTTTAGACATGTGCCAAAAAATAAGTAGAAGTATGGAAAAAATAGTCTTACCAAAAAGAGAAAATCCATTTTATAAAGTTTATTCCAAAGCAAATATATTCCATGAACCAAAATTTTCATAAAATTTTGTTGAATTTTGCCACAGAAATATATTTGCCCACTGAGCACTTTATTTTAAAACCAACATTGTAAATTGTACTAAATTGTTTTAGAAGTTAGTGAATGATCATGACTTTGAAAGTTTTTGCTAATGTTTCGCTGTGTTCTTCTATATCTGACAGATCTAGTGATATGTAGTAGTATTTTTCATAAATCATGTCAGTGGCTTAGATATTTCTATTATTGATTATTTTTTTTTAACTTAAAGGGACAGTATGCAAAACTTTAATTATTTACAATGTAAATTACATGTGAAAAGATTTCTAAAATATATGCTATTTACTTCTATCTCTACAATAAGGCATTTATTTTGCTTAAAAAATGTTAGTTTTCTAACACCTACTAGGTGTAGCATCATAAACTAGTTCTAGTATTCAGTCTGTAAATAAAATATGTTAGAAATTTTGTTATTTACAAGTAGCAATGTTCTTGATAATGAACACTTTGCATACTGTCCCTTTAAAGGATTCTTTTGATCTTTTGTATGTGTGTCAATATAATTATGAAGATGTGAACTATTGAATTTGGTGATGATCCAATCATTTTACTGTGACATTTATTGAAATTGATCAACACAATAAACCAAGTAAAATTTATGTTAAAATACCAGGTAGTTTCAATAGAGAGATATAGATATGAAAGTACAAGCTAAATGTGATATTGCATCAAATTATGGTATAGAGTTTGTTTTACAGTTCACATTTAGCTCTTTATCAAGCTGCTGGTGGGCGTATTCGCTTGCGAGACTTCCCTCAAGCCTTTGTTTATTTTATGTTGCACTTATTTACTGGTCATGAGCTTTTGAATGTTAGTACGTGATCAGTGGTTGATAAAATACAATCGTGACCTTCTGAGTGTTAGTATGTGTTCGGTGGTTGATAAAATACAGTCCGTTCAAAAGTTAGTATGTGATCAGTAGTTGATTGGAAAGTTATCTCTTGTTTTCTTACAATAATAGCTCTATACCTGCTTGATAAGATTCCCGTACTTGACCCATAAAACTAGATTACGGACAAATTTCAATGTTTTACCATGGTCACTGACTTAAAATAAATAAAAATTTAGGATTATTAAAGGGGGAACATGATTGTGTCCATCACATGTAATGATCCAAGGGGCATTCTGTTTTTTAGTAGGTTGATTAACAAATTAGAAGTCTCTGTTTTTGATTTGCCCTTATAAAACAAATTCAGTTGATCAAGTAGATACATAGATGAAAATTTGC